TTGTCCTGGTATTTTGAGGGAGAAGAGGGAGGACATTTATGCTTGGTGGTGAACTTGAAAAGTATATTTTCTTTTTAAATGTCAACCTATTCTTTTTCCATGTGTGTTTCAAAAATGTCTCTGACGCTTTGGCTCGATACCCAGGTATTCCAGCTGTTATTCTAAGATGGTGGAAATTAAAGCTCTGTTGACTTCACTGGAGCTTTGCCATTTTTCCTCAGAGGAACATTTGGTTTCAGAATATTCTGTGGAACCTAGATCTGACACATGCACTGCAGACGCTGTGGGTGCTGGGTAGTAGCTGTACTGATGCTAGTAGCTGGAGTGATTAGGGAAGGGGTATTCCACTGCGTAGCAAGTGCTGTGGTTCCCACCTTTGATCTCGCATGGAAATTAAATGTTCAAACTGTCTTTTGCAAAGGTGGAACTGTGTCAGACTGTCCTTTTCTAACCCAGCATGATGTGCTAAAGGGTTGGGAGTGTGGTCCTGACCCCAGGTAGACTCGTACAGCCCTGATCACTCTGAGCCTAGCAGAGCAGACGTTTGAACCTGGGCCTTGTGAATTCCCTGTTGGTGCCATAGTCTTAGGTCACCACAGCCTGAAAGCATCTCTCTCTCATAGCACAGACCTAAAAAAATACCTTGACTTAGTCTTAGCATAATTGAAGTGCTGCTTTTCTTGCGCTCAGAGAGGGAGTCAGTGCCCAAAACCTTCCCTGCTTTTTCCAGCTGTATCATCTCTCCTATTAAAAGTTACTGTGTCTCCTTCAAAACTTTCTATCATTTGACTATAACATCTCTAGTAATACTACTATGATATAAATCATATCACCAATTGTTCCAGCTAGTACAAAGCAGCAGAGCAGGTTTCATGTGCACAAGAACCTGAGCATCTAAGTAATGAATCCATTTGTAAGGGTGTCTGCTGAACTCCATGAATAAGTAGTTCCCAATCCTGACTTTATTTAGTTGTCTTTATGCATAATCCTGCTGCAGACACTGAAGTTAATGGTAAATCTCCCATGGATTTCAGTGTGTGCAGGTTGGGGCCCTCATATATTAAGGGCTTATCATTGCAAATTTGCTGAAAGCACCAAACCCTCACAGCTCCTGTGTGCCTCATCTTCAGTCCTGCAGAGACATCATAATACCATGTTTGTGATAGCAGAGTCATTCCCATGGCAACAAATGGACTCATAAATACAAGATTCTGACCTTGCTGTGTGCTCAAACAAAACAGAGAAGCTGGGCAGCAAAGACAAAAGTTCATCAAACACAAATGCCTATAAACCCAGCAAGCAGGTGGGAGAGAAGCAGCAGATAAAGACAAAATATTTCTCCTCTGAAGTTCTGCCCCCAGGCAAATGTCCCTCCACAGATTTTTCTAATGCTAGGATCTGCTATGGTTGGCCTGAGTATCTTACCCTGCAGAAAGCTCCAAGGAAAGCAAATGATAGCTTTTTAATAAAGCTGTTTCATATTAATTGTTTTTAGAGGATGAGCTTTGAAAAGCAATACTATTTTACAGCTCCTTCCAGTAGATCTAAAAACAAGGTGCTTAATAAATAACATTTCAGTTTCATCCTATTTCTTAGACTTGCATTAATAGTCTTTGCTTTAGAGATCAAGGCAGAGTCAGTGACCTGCTCTGAGTCAAATTCTGGATCCCTAAAAGATTTGGGATAGGAACAACAGGAGTGGGTGACTGGCAACGTGGTCATCACAGGAAGCCAACGACGAACCTGGGTGAGCATGAGACACCTGCTGCCTGGGCTGTGGCAGGAACCCAGATGAGGCACAACTGGAAAGGCAGCCCACTACTTCTCACCAGTTCATAAGCAGGAGATAACTGGGAAGACAGGTGTTGGAGCAATGAAGGAATAGTTTCAGACTGACCGATGCTGAAGGATTGACAGCTGTAAAGCAATAGTTTTAGGTGCTTCTAGGAAGACTGGCAGTCCTTCTCACAACTGTGTCAGTGAGAGGTGGACTTCTAATTCCCAGTTTGAGTTTGTGAGAACATTTTTGAGACTTACAGCCATAATGAACTATTGAACATCAGTCATAGGATCCTGCCCTTCAACAACATCTGCATTAAGTCTTATTACACCTTAGTGGTAGAAGAAAGAGCATGGTTTGAATTGTCCCAAGACAGAGGTAATTCTGATCTTCTACCAGCACCTGTTAATACATACAAACAAACTTGTCCATACCTTCTGGAACCTGGAAAAGGGCCTTTTTCTTTATTGATGGGACGCTGTAATAAATGTATTTGCCATATTGCTGCATATTACAGATGCAATTGAGAATTAAGAATGAGAAATGGTCGATGAGAACAGAAGCTGTCAGTGACAGTCCATTGGTTTATACTGATTACGCTAAGGAGTGGCTGTTCTGTGGCATTACAGAGACAAGGCTAGAACACTCTGACCAAGCGTTGTGGCTGCTGCCCTTATGTGTAACAGGTTTAGCATTGACTATAAACACTGAAGCCCTGCAGGCTTTGTTCAACCCATAGGCTGATGAAATCCGGGGGAGATGAAGGATTTCAGATCTGGACTCCAGGACTAGAGAAGGGAAAATCCTGTTAGTACTGCTACTTATGCCTGGTTCTTTGGCTAGTGTTTGAGAACAGGTCACAGTAGGAGCAGATGACTCCTGTGATGCAGCCAGGTTGGTGAAACTTTGATTCTGTGGGTAAGTGCTAGCTGTACCCAGGGAAGTTGCCCAATAGTGCTTAAAGTCAAGAGTCTGACTTACACCCTGACATCTACTCATTGCCCACTCACTACTGACAGTTCCAGTGTCCAAGGACCTGAGTTTTCATTGCCCTCAGCAAGCAAATTACAACTTAGATACTGTGGGCCAGAAATGGTAGAGCAAGCAGCTGTTGCTCTGCTGCCTCTACATCTGCCTGGCACAATAATTAAATCTCATCAGCCATTCAATATAATGGAAGCAAACCAACTATAGAAGAAGAAGGATTTCACAGCACAACTGTCTTATGGTCTGTAACTGCAGCTATATATTTGCCTTCATAATTAATTCTGTAAGCATTTATACAGAGCTATAAGAGACTGAGAAATTTAGAAAGTAGTGGAAGAAATCCTTAAAAAAACAGCAAAGGGTGTAATTACTTTCCTCTACCATCATTCTGCTCCTTCTCTTCTCTGCTAATGTTTCCCAGGGACTATTCGTGGCAGGGCTGTAGTGGGACAAAGGCATTGCCTTAACTCTTATTAAGTCAAACATCCAGTAGAGGCCAGAAGCCCTAATTTTGCTGCAGCACTGACATCGCCTGTGGCTTGAACACCACAAATCAACTTCCTCTTGTGGAAAATGTGGGTCCCACTTCAGTTCTGTGTTGCTCTGGTGAGACCTCACCTAGAGTACTGCGTCCAGCTCTGGAGCCCTCAGCACAAGAAGGACATGGAACTGTTGGAGCGGGTCCAGAGGAGGGCCACAAAAATGATCCGAGGGCTGGAGCACCTCTCCTATGAGGACAGGCTGAGGGAGTTGGGCTTGTTCAGCCTGGAGAAGAGAAGGCTGCGGGGAGACTTGATTGAGGCCTTTCAGTACCTAAAGGGGGCCTATAGGAAAGGTGGGGAAAATCTTTTTAGTAGGGCCAGCTGTGACAGGACAAGGGGTAATGGTTTTAAACTAAACCAGGGTAGGTTTAGACTAGATATAAGGAAGAAATTCTTTACAATGAGGGTGGTGAAACACTGGAACAGGTTGCCCAGAGAGGTGGTGGAGGCCCCATCCCTGGAAGCATTCAAGTCAAGGTTGGATGGGGCTCTGAGCAACCTGATCTAGTTAGCGGTGTCCCTGCTCACTGCAGGGGGGTTGGACTAGATGACCTCTAGGGGTCCCTTCCAACCCAAAACATTCTATGATTCTATGATTCTATGATATTTGTGATGTAGGTTGGTACCTACTGTAGCTGCGTTAAGTGTTACTTCTATGTTATGAGTGTAAATCCATGTTTGATGAAATGAATGGATTATTGAGCCCTCTTTTTCAGAACTCCCTTACAGGTAGTTGACTTGGCCTTTTTTTTTTTTTTTTTTTTTTGAAACACACATAGTTCAGCTCATTGGCAGGAGAAACCCAGGAAACTTACCAGTGGAAATCTCACTTCATAATTAATCTTTTCTGAATTCTGTAGGCCCCAAATATGTTCTCTCTTGGTCATGCTAATCCAGATTAACTTCATGAGGTTAACTGAGGTACTCTACATTTGCACCAGCATAAAGAAAAGTGTAATGGGACTTCTCTGTGTGTCCCTCCTGTGGCTGCTCAGCAATAAATGTGACTTTAATGTCTTCTTTGCTGTCAGTGTTGTGTTTTTTCTCATTCTCTTGCATCACATAAAACTTTAAGGTGGGCCTGGTAAAGCATAAGAGGTATTGAGGCAGGCTGCACTGCAGGGCCTTTATTCTGACCTCCAACCTCATGGACCCCAAAGTCGGGATCCAAAGAGCACGTTGCTGCTGGGGAGATGACCGTGAGCTCGATGAGCTGCAAACGAAGCTCCTTTCTGCTGATGGAGGGCAGAAGGCTGGCTCCTCTCTTCCAGGCATCACGACTCTCATTTTACTGACAGGAGGGTTACTAAGGCAGACCTTCTGTGCCGTGTGCTGACATGAAGAGACCAGTCGGCAGCTTTGGCATGACTATTTGTAACCAGCACTTTGTAGTTGGAAAATGGACTCAGAGGCAATTGTTTTCTTCTGCTAGAAAGTCAGGAGCGTTTTCCTGCTAGAAGACAACAGCTTGCAGCAGGGCATTCTTTAAGAGTGAAATATTCTCCTAAAAGAAACGGTCTAAGCACCAGCTTCAGTCAGCTGCAGCATACCAAGCACCCAGGCTGGATCCCAGGGCACATTGTTCTCTGGTTAAGTTGGGTTGTTCTGCCCAAACCTGGCAGTTTGATGTATCTGAAATGCACCTCCTCAGGTCTTTATTTTTCTGAGTTGCTCTTTGGTTTGTCTTTCAGAAGCGCTCTGGAGGCGTTTGCTCATTCCTGCATCGAGTGTGCTGGGCAGCATTACCATTGCAACTGCTCCTCTTGCTCCTTCTGCTCCTGGCCTTCCTCCTGCCCCTGGCAGAGGAGACCCACAGCTGCACGCTGGCCAACAACTTTGCTCGGTCCTTCAACCTGATGCTGAGATACGAGGGCCCACCTCCAACCTAACTCCTTGGCATGGCACAAGGTGACTCAGAAATAAAGACTTTTTTTTTTCTTAACAACTGCAAATATTGTAGATTTTAAGGCTTCTAACAAGGCCATCATACCAACTGGATAGGTCACATTAATGCAACATAAGATTAGTCCACTTTAATCAGGTATTTGAGAAAATTTAATATTTTTACAATATTTTATTATAATATTTATAATGTGTATATAAGATTGTGTATGTGTATGTATGTACATATATATATATAAAATGCATATCTGTGGTCACACTAAAATCCTCCATCTGCTCATCCACTGTTTGGAGATAATCCTGCAACATTTCTGTTTCTACCATCTTTCAGCAAGGAATACTGAATGATGGTTTGGTTGTGGGGTTTTGGGGTGATTTTTAAAACCAGATTCTTTTTTACAACCAAAGTCAGAGCAAGTATGAGAAGATGTGGACGTGCAGCAGAGTGCAAATTGGAGAGCAGGTAGAATAGAATCGTCTTTGAATACAGTGGTTGACATTCAGCCCAAGGAAAAATGAGACTATTCTCTTCAAAATCTTGAGCTGTTTTTTTCAGTATCTGGATGCAGGGATTGCAGAAGGTAATGGAAATGTTTCCACTGACTTCAGTAGGAGTGGGGGTGGGCCTCCTCTGTTCTCATTTTTTAACAGATTTCTTTTCCAGTTACTGCATTCTCCAGCCCACCTGAATCAGGAGAGGTAGAATACAGTAGGAAGAAAGCTAGGAAAAGAGAATATATATATTTTTTTTAAATCTCTATAGCAGGAGAACTTTTAAAATCAGGTCATAATTTTCTTAATGAATTTGTGAGCACTGAACAAAACCGTGTATCGGTGGTCTTGTCTTTAAAAAGCAGTGAGGTTTTTTTTGTTTGTGGTTTTTTGTGTTGTTTTGGTTTGGTTTTTTTTTTTTACTTTATAAAGAGGCATTTGGTAATGGATCATAAAGCCCAAACAGTGGGATGCAGCCTGGCTCAGTGTCAGCAAAGCAAAAATCAGAAGTACTTTAATAATAGCACCCTGGAAACAGGGATGTTTTTATATTAGTGGTTTGTTAAACTGATGTAAACTGCATCAAAGACAGTCAAGCCTGAATTTCTGTATTGTCTAAACTCTAAGGTGATGACAACTTGTCATTTATTTACCTAACCTTATGCCTGATTTATCAAATTTTTGAATGTATGTTTTAGCATTGCCTTTTAATGTAAAAACAATTCTCACTTTACTGTGATGAAACCATTGTTAGTGGTGTTTTACCTAATTGACTCCTGAGAGAGAAGGTAATTTCTAAAATCTTGTGCCATTTCTGAGAGCTATCTCTTACTGTCTCATCTTTTTAGTCACAGCAGTAATCATGAAAAAAAACCCTTAACCGAAGAAGTAGTCACTTTTCCTACCCTGGCTATGTTGTGGGAGGAACTTGTCTTCTGGGTACCAGGAGGGTGTATTCAGTGTCATTTTCCAAATAAGTTCCAAAATAATATTAAATCTGTTGGGCAGGTAAATTATTTAGTAGCTGAGGGACTGAAGGAAGAAGTCATACTTCTTTAACAAAACCATGTTCTTGCAAACTTGGGTAGAATAGGGAGGCATAGCAGCAAGGAGCTTATTATAGGCACGTAATGAGAGAGAACAGGCAGATGTGAGAGAGGACTAGCTAAAGATAGAGAAGAGAGGTGTCCAGCAATTTATAAAGCTTAAGAAAAGGAGTCATGATGAACACAGAGGACAAGAATGAATACAGGCTTTATGGTGAAAAAATCTCTGAATATTTTTGGTTCCCTTTCCCTGCCACGGTATAGGTACTATTGCATATAAGCAGCTTTTCTTCAGTAAGGTTTAAAATGGGGCAAATAACAGGGACTCTACTGGTGTTCAGAGGAGAGTCTTCCACTGCCAGGACTCTGTCACTGTGCTCCTAATAATGCTTCTGACTATGCTGGATTTGCTAGAGTTGGATAAAAATGTCAAAACTCTGCTAAAAGTGAAAAGGAGAGTGGGAATTAGAGGAAAGAGGGCCAGGATGGTGAAGGTATTCAGGTAGAGTGCAAGGGGAGTGTGAGGAGGATCTGAACTGATGCAGATTAAAATCTGACTGTCGGGAGGCAGCAAAGAGCTCTAGCGAGCAGGCAGAGGGGGGCAGAAAGCCAAAAAGTGAGGAGAGAGGATGTACGCTGGGCGATAAGACATTCACGCAAAAGAAGGTAAGGCCTGTGATTTCTTTCATGAAGGAGTCAGATGGAGAGGAGCTATAATTCATCAGAGAATGGGGCAAATTAATCCCTTCTTTGCAACGGTTCTTTCTGGTGGCGGAGGACGTACCTCCTTCTCTCCCCTGAATAGCTGGGCAAAAGCCATGCATGTTCCTGCAATACTCCTCTAAAAATTGCTGCCAGCCCTGAGGGAAGAAACCCTCGTGGCTGCACAGCAAGGAGCTAATCGTCACACACAGCTCCATTTCAAATTAAATGCTCCAGTAGAAAGGAAGTGGGGGGGAAGAGGGGCAGTAACCAAACCTGCTGTGTGTGATTGTGTATACGTGTACGTGTGCATGCACTTCTCTGCAGCGTAGCTATATTGCACTTCTCTGAGTTTTGCTGAGCCATTCCAGGTGATGAAAGTAAAATGCCAGTGAGAAAGTAAAAGTAATGAGGAAAAATGTAGTCACAAGAGAAAATCATCAGGGACATAGACAAGTTTTTTCTACAAAGCACAAAATCTCACATCAGATTTCTTTCTGCCCAGCCTTTCTGATCTGGATGATTTTTATGGGTTTGCAAATGCATTTGACACCACAGGAGTACGCAACTGGGGTAAAAAATTTCTACACAGAGGACCATAACAGAACAATTGCATCGCCACCTTGGTTTTTCAGTGTTGTGGCAGGTTTAAAAAACCCACTAAATTAGAAACACACTTTTGCTGCTGGGTTTGCATTCAATTTATTCTGTAAGTCCGTCCCCTGTCTGTAATCCTGGAATTTTTTTGCTTTAAATCTCAGCAAATCCATTCTCATTAATTTCAGTAATCTAAGTATCTCACATAAGAGATGAATCTTTCTACTTCTTTGCAGTGGAAGCTGTCCAAAGCACAGGACTTTGTTGTTCATCTCACTCAGAACAATCTCACTCTTCCATAATGTCATGGACCTCACCTGTCCAATGCAGGTGTGAGATTTTTCTAAGGAAGAAAGAATTTCTAAAAAATCACAGAAATAATCTTGAAATGTAAATCCAGAATTTATTCTCTTGTTTTTCTTCTGAAAAGTTTGTGGTACTGATTCCTGGAGTGTGTGTAAATATTAATCAAGTCGGTAATTGGAATAATGAAAACAAACTGCCCAGTTCAACTTCCAGGAAACTGAACAAAGCTCAGATTCCTCAAAACACAAACTAAATCATACTGTTTCCAAATCAGTCCTTAAAATTTGAGCACTGTTCTTCATGCCTGAATCTTTGCTCATACATGATTTAGGGGTTGCACCCTCACTTTTGTGCCTATAAAATCCCCAGCTCATAGATCTCTGACAATCATATGTAACCAAGATGTGTTACTCCTCTGCTTTGGATTGGGGCTGCTGCCTTAAGACATCCCTTGCCAAAAACCTAGGATGCTCAAAACAGATAAGCATCCACAACTGAGGACTTGCACTACTTTAATCCAGATCCAACCACTGTCAGAGGGTATAAAACCCTCTAAAATAGATGGAATATGTTTGAGCTTGTAAATTGTTTGCACGTCTGACTCAGGCCACGTAGCCTCTAGTGCAAGCCCATACCCAGCCTGTGCACGGGGCAGAGCTCTTGTGCATCTCTCCAAGCTCTTTTGCCTGTGCTATTGGACCCCATATTTGATTGACCACATTAATGTTGAAGGCAAAATCCTGCACTCCAGTGCCCATGCATTAAAGTAAGAATCCTGCACACCTCAAAGGCACACTTCAAACCCAGCCTTTGGAGTGAAAGCAAGCCCAATTTATAAATTGTAATTGATTTTGTAGCCAGATGCTTTCAACAGAATTTTCCATGACTGCAATACAGTGAGGTAGAAAATTGCTATTGTGCCACATGTCTATTAATAGCCCATTCTCTGATTCCAGCTAGCAATTTAGATTGTATTAAATACTATTTATATATGCCCTCTCCAGAAACCTCTGTATGAAAAACATGTTCAGGTCGATGTGCACACATTAGAAATGCTGTCGTCCCCTGTTAGCACAGAATCCCCAGAGCAACCATGATTTCTGCCACGTACTAGCTTATTTGCCCTGATGGAGAGACTTACTAAACTCAAACATTTGGGGCTGAAAAGAAAGCTACTAGCCTGACTCATAAAAGCATCTGATGATCACTGAATAATTTGGGGAGCTTTTAGAATGGCCTTCCACCTCTCCTTAATCCTTTTTGGTGAGCAAGTTGAAGACCTCAGAGAGAAGAAATGTCTCCAAAAAATGGCCATGACTAGATAGGCAGATGGTAATCTCTGCACGTCAGAAGAAATAGTATGTTCTCTTTAGTTGCACTAGGAGCTCAGGGGTTTTCTCCATCTGATCTCTTTTTCAGTATTAAATAGGAAATGTTTTACTTTGATGTGTGTGCCTATACATCTCATTAGCACTGAAGAGATTTGAAGAGTGAGTTCATATACAGGAATTCTTTTAAATTGCATTGACAAGAGAATACATGTCTTCTTTTCTCAAGAAAAAATAAAACCCCTGTATGGCAGAGATTCCAAGAGCAAACAAAACCTTTTGGAGTAACTGAAGATTACAAACGCAAATTAAACTGGAGAAATAGTTTTGCCTTTCAAGAAATGCTGGTATAAATACCCCAATAAAGATACCTCTGCCAGGCATCATAGCTGTCTTTCAGGCCGTAGGTTACGCACCCAGCTGGCTGTAAGAACTGCTTTTGGAGACTTTACTATCCGTTGGACGGTGTCAGTTGCTAGTCTGCAGCTGAAGACACATTTGCCCAATGGACTCTATCAGCTTCTTCCAGAGCCACTAGGGGCTGTCGAGGATATTCTTAGTACTTCTCAGATCATTGACCTGCTCTGAGCCATTGCAAGTTTATTGCATTAATCTGTCTGTCAGTGGCCGGCAACTCTCAGAAACCAGTTTGTTAAAATACTAAAGATAACATTATTGGCACAAACATCACGATTCATTCAGTAACCTACCTAGTTATTTTTGCCATATTGAAACATAATTATCTGTTTGTTATACTGGGTTATAAACAGATTAGTCGTAGGTTTTGGGTAACCGTGTGGAATGTTTTCGGCACAAAGCTTTTTGACTTGCACACGTATGTTTAAGAATTGTGGGCTCATTTCTCACCTGCTCAATGGGAAAACAAAACAAAGATTCTTGAAGGTAGCATTTTCCAAAAAAACCCAATCAGGGTGGAATAATCTGTCATACAGTCGCTTTTTTAATTATCTCTTGTCTATCCAATTTAAAATACGGATATGTGTCTACCAGAGAGATACCAATAGATGTGGGAAAAAGGGAATATCTATCAGGAGTATACCAATTAAAGCAGTAGCCTAAATGGCACCTTCGTTACCCAGCCTACTGCAGCAATTGCCAGACCTAGCTCACTGTACCTGTGGGCTAGCCACCCTCCTCCGGTAAACCCTGGGTGAGATGGAGCTGCACAGGTGAAGGCACAGCATCCCAGTGGAAGCAGCGGGAGACATTAGGTCTTCAAAAGGCAGCCTGATATCTGGATTCAAGAGATGAACATGTAGGTTTGGCATAATCAGAGCAACTAATAACACAGGAACAAGGGTTTACCATCCTGCTCTGCCAGACAAAATTTTGACAGTGGCCATCAGCACAGTCCAGTTTCACATCCCTCACTGTGGAAAGAGGCTCTCCTCACGGCAATTCCCTCTAGCTGAGATTTGAGTCTCAGGAGTGCTTTTTTCTTTTCATTAAACACGAAGAAACTGCTAAATCAACCCCCTGAGTGACAGATTAATGGTAGGTGGTAGGCGCTGATGCTCCAGGAAAAGATGCAGGAAGTGTATTGTAGATGGAAAGGTAGTCATGAAGGTGTCTGTTCAATGCTTAGGAATTAGAGTTTCGTTATAGAACTGAAGTAGGAGGCTTTCTGTTCCTTTGCAAGTAAATGCCAGCTGTTGCCTTTAGTCTTCTGGATTTTGGGGGGGAGCCTGTTCAGTGCCCTGCTGAATGCTGGTGGCTTTCTGACTTCAGAGCCACTCACGGCAGCGAGTTCCACATCCTTCCTAGGAGTTGTGTGAAAAAGGTATTCCTCGGAATTGGTTTTGAATCAGAAACCTTTTGTTTGGGGATTTGTTTGATTTTCCTTCTTTGGCCCCTGTGTATTGAATCCAAGGAATCAGAAAGACCAGCACTACCCTTTCCAGACCGTGCTTTGTCTTTCCTTCTTTTACCAGAGCAGAGGAGATTTGGCTTTGTCTCCTTCCTAAAGTAAATTACCCCAATCTTTTCTGTTTCTTTTCATGTTACAGACCTTCCACGACTTTGATCATTACCATCACCTTTCTCTTAACTGTTTCCAGTGCCACTTCTTCTTTCATATATACAGCAAAAAATCTGGTCCTGTTTCAATCAATTGAAATTCAATAAATTTTTCCCCCATTGCAGCATCCTGCAGATGCTCTGCCTCTTTCTGCTGCCCCCTGTGTCAAAACAGCCTTCATGACTATCTGAGGGGACTCTGGTCCTTGCCAGGCATCTCTTCCAAGTCTCCTGGCCATGTCCTACTCTCATCTGCCTTCTGTTGGCTCAGGGACTTCATACTCACATCTGCAGATGGGAGCGTGAGGGTGTCGCTTAACAAACAATTATTAGTAATGAAAGCCTTGCCGTTAGCATTGTTCATAGCCTGCCCAGACCCTTTTCTCTCCTTCTCTCTAAGCAGGTTTTGATGGGCAATCCAATTACTGCTTGCAGAAAATTGCCCCTTAATCAGCGAGGAGGGCTGGTGTTTCAGTTTCCGCACAATTATCCTCGTGTTGCCACCACCCGTGCAAGCGCTGCCCTGTGCTGCGGGGCGCGGGGCTGGGTGCCCCAGGCTGTGCCCGTGAGCTGCCGGCGGTCTTTGAATGTCGCTGCTGTTATACACCCTAACAAGCCAGGACCCTTTTTTTTTTCGAGCTGGGGAAAAAAAAAAGAAAGAAAAAGAAAATGGTTGCTTTTAACAAACTGATTTCACAACTCATTTATCAAGCCCTCTAGCAAACCATTTATTTTAGCTCCTTTTTACTCCATCAAAAGCTGTATGTTAAAAGGGAGAGGTGAATTTGGAGAGGCTGGGAACTGAAGGCAGGCTGCTGTGCCACCCCCCCACACACACCAGAGTTTTGCCAAGAGGCCTCCAGCTAGAATTCAGGGGTAGGAGCTGTTATTTTTCCTGAAGTGACTCCCACCTTCAAAATCAAATTATTTCTTTTGTCAAGTCCAATAAGCATTGAACACCACCAACTTGGTTTCACTACAGATATGAATGAATGCCTCTGTATGGCACTTTCCACTGCCATGAAATATATATATGTATATATATGTAATGGGGAGTGTAATTATTGTTCTACTTAAAGAAAGGTGACATTGCACTTCAATGTAACTTTCAAGTGCAGCTTTTAAGAGAAACTGTGTCTTAAAGGGAAGCTGGAGGAGTTTAGAGGTATGTGTTTTAAGGAGCTTTAATGAGCTTTAATAAGCTTTGAGTTTGATGTTTTTTCCCATCACCTTCCCAGATCAGACCCTGTAAAGGTTTAACCTGGGAGTCACTGCTTGAGCAGTGGCTCTTCCTGAAGGTATTGGGACATTGCATGTACTCCACGTGTGTCTGTTCTCAAACGCCAACCTCCCATTTTGTACACGTGCGTGACTGGAAGGCCAAAGACAGACTTTCATCTTGCTCCCAGCCCTGACTCTCGGTTTTGTCTCAGCGGATGTATTGCTTTTGATCAATGCCACTCTCTCAATTTATTTTTTTTTCCTTTTAATTTGTACTTACTCAGTTTATCAGGTGACTCCCAGAGGGCATACTCTACCTGCCCAGCCTCAGAGCTTCCCTTCCAGCAACATACCTGCTTCCCAATGTTTACTTGGGTGTACGGGACCACTGTGAAGCAATTACACAAGCAATAACGCGGGTGTTGCATTTTTCTGTCATTGCCTTTTGTAACATGTAACACCCTGTTGACATTGAAAAGTGGTAGGAGACCCAGAAGCTGCGCTGTTGTTTACTAGCAATATAACCGATGTACAGTGCTTCTACAGGGGACCTGTCTTCACTTCTCAAAGCAGCTGGCTGTCTTAGGCCCAATTTAATTAACAAGGCTGGATTATAAACAATCTTGGATCCCTTCGCCAACACTCCATCAATCTTGCTTCCATCAGTTTTTGTGCTTTTGTTTAGTTTCAAGCTAGAAGAAATTTTAAAGAAATGTGCTAAGACTACCCTATAGGGTGAGTAAATATCTCATATATTTCACAAAAAAATGCAACAAAATGAAGGGATTTACTCCCACATTGAACAGAATTAATAAGTTCTAACTGATGTATTAAAAAGTTATTAAGAACAGCTTGGAGATTCTGCAGGCAAACCATTCTCTGCTTTTAATGTAAAAATCAGTGAATATTGCAGTACATTTTGCCACCTTCTTTTAGAAGTGACCTGGAACTAAAATCTAGTCCTCTCAAATGGGAGGTTCATTGATGCAATATAAACTTCACCAGTATGTCTCATGTTAGATCACCCACCTCTGGGCAGAGGGGAAGCCTAAGGCTGTTCACAACAGAAACTCATATTGTGAATGGTTTTAGAATTCTTCAGAGCTCCTGCCCACTTCCAAATGTCGGTAATGGGGAGGATCTGAAACCTTCCTGTGAACCCTGTGCATTTTGCATGTTGAAATCCTGGCTTGAATTCAGGTCTCCACCTCAGCTTCTTGTAAATGTTAATATTCAAGTAGAACAAAAACGTTAGAGGCAATTACAGCATGAACATCTCTTCTTGTTTATGTATAGTAGCCGATAGCAGAGCCTGTAATAATAATCTGTGTTTATACATGTGCTGTGCAGTGGAACAGTTGGGTACAAAATGCCTTTTAACTGTCACAAGAAAATAACTGGATTGATGTCACTTTGTGCTTGTATGAATATAGTTATTTGCCTTGCAGGGACCAGTTTCACTTTTTTCATGTTATTTATGATTTTTAAATACATTTGTGATAAATTAGGCTCGTTCCTAAGGTAAACAATACTGGAGCCAAGCAGCTGTCTCTGTACATGTGCATGTTATCACAGCTGATATCAAGTCCAAGTCAGACTCCTTGTCTTGCTCGGACCTTTCCTTAACCTTTCTGGCTTATTCAGGGAAATGCGGACCGGTCTATTTTCGTATTAAAAATATGGCTTTTTGAAAAGCTGAACTTATTTTTAAAATCCTTTCTTTTTACAACTATTGATTCAGAAAGACTGTAACAATCATATTTTTCTAAACTGCCAATTGCTTGTGTTGGGAAATGATATATAGATATATATTTTATTCTACAGATTTCCACGTAGTTTTTAAACTCTTTGTTTTCATATATGTCCTCCTATCTGCTAGACATATCTCAAAAAGCTGTAAGCGCCTGTATACTGACTCTAGGAAATTGTATAAAAATGCAGCTACATAAAAAGGCTGACTTTATTTTTTACTTAAATCATTAGAGCTAAGACATCCTCAGTGTTACGCCACGCAAGATGTACGGAAAGAAATCAGGTCATTGTTCCAAAAGGCTGGAGAGCGTTACGTGACACTTCCTAAAAAGTCTCGACTGAAAGTCAGGAGAATTTACCCTAGAAATGGTGCCATTTCGGGGCCTGATTCTATAGTTTATTCACACTGTGTAGGACCTTATTTCACAAGTACTCCCATGAAATTTCATGGGAAATGTTAAAAATAAGAGCCTACGATGTGTGAATAGCAGTGATAGAATAAGGCTCTTTTCTAATGAAGAACGGGGCCTGTTAACTAGTTAGGAGGCAATATTTTGAGTATTTCAGGACAACTTTTTGCGTTCTTTTCTGTGCTATGGACTCCTCCTGTGTATTCTGGATTTATTCCATAGCTGAAATACCAGATTAAATCAGTTGAAGCCCCATGCGCAGATGAACATAATGGAAAGCTGCAGTGAAATATTGCAGCAAATGGCCTGATTTTGTTCTTCAGAGCAAAGTTAAAGTAACTCCCAGCCTTGGCTTCTGTGCACCTGTGCAGCAGAGGCTCTTGCTTTGTACCTTGGCTGTGGTGTAACATGGAAGGATTTCTGCTCTCTGCCTGGAAAATACTGTCTATTCTTCAACCTTGTCACAAGCATAATATTTTCTCAAGTAAAAAAAAATCTGATTCTGCAAGACTCATAGGGGAGTTAAGGGACAGCTGGGACCTTCTGCTATCAGGCCACGTTATTCCAAAAGTTTATCCCTCGATGACATATAAAATATGATGTGGCTTTGCTGTTTGCAAGTAGGATAAAAAGACTGGAAATTCATCACCCCAAGCCCAAGCCTTGTGACTGTTCTGTGATGCTCCACTGTTAACAATGAACTATGCTGAATCGGATTATAAAATCAGAGTACTTTATAGCATGTCTCCTTTATTTGTAATGAAAACATAGTTGTATTTGATGTTGCAGTTATAATGCAGTAAATAAACACATACATATTTCTTTTTAAGGACTTCTAAATTATTCTGGGGGGTGGTTTCACATTTTTGCTGTGCTTATTTCTTACCATCAGAGTATTTGGGCTGACCTAGAAACTCCCAGAGCAAGTGAAGCGAGGATAAAATTTGCTGCTGCCTGCCTCTCTGCTCACATACCACTGGAAAAAGGTTGTGCTGAATGTACCTACTTCACTCTAGCCTTGTAGGATTTAACAGAAGATGTCATCTTTTCTATAAGACTGTGCAGTTGTTTGAATAGAATTCTACCAGACCCAAAGAAAATGTGAATTTGCTAAATCATATTATGATTCAGTATGATTTCTTATGGCGTTGTCCTCTGACAGTCTCTGTGGGGTTCCCCTCAATCCCGAACTGGCTAAGACAAAGGGGGATTTTTTGAGAACTTCAGACTTGAAGCTAATACAAATCACATGTAGTGAGCGAGCAGTGTGTTAGTTTAACCACTGCTGATTTCTCTGAAGAGTAGTCACTGCAGCATGTATGTGCGGATGCACAACTCTCATTAGTATCCAAGTAATTGCTGCTTTCTTTCCTGAATCTTGATGCGATAAAGTCTGCCAGGATCTCCGACATCAAAGGACTCCGCAGGCAGTTACTTCTGGTGGAGTTGAAAACCACTACAGTTTTTTGGTGAACCTGTAGGATAGGTTCCCAGTTGCTTTTATGAACACACTGAGCTTTATCCAGGTCTTTGACTTGTCTCAGGTATTTGGACCATGTGGTCCTAAGACTTCCTATGAGCTGTTCCCACTAAGCACCCCAAAATACGAATGCAAACAGTTCAGCTGATCATAGCTGTGTCAAGATCAGAGCAGCAGCTCAAATCCAAAAGAGAATGGGGTAAAATAAGTCCAGGGCTATAGGAAGAACAGACTATGATGGTGGGACAGTTACATTCCCCATAAGAGCTGCAATCAGTGCACAAAAGAAATTATTATTTTTTCTTTTTTTTCCTTTGTAATGCGTTTTTTCATCTTGCAGTTTATTTTTTGTGGAGCCAGAAAGTAGGCTTCTTTGTGTATATCAGGCCTCTTCTTCCGGAACCAGCAAAGAAACTTGGGACTTGATTTTGTCCCAGACACTGTACATAGACCAGGAAAAACTGTCATCCAGCAGGGACGAGAGAAAAGGGCCTAAGAACAGATAAAACAGCTCACACTTGTATGGTGAATGAATATTTTATTGACCAGGCTCAGGCTGCAAACAACTCTATAGCTGATCGGGGGGAGTCGAGACAGTCAACGAGAATTATTATAAACACCTTTAGAGGACAATGAAATACTCTGGGCAGTTATAAATCTCTTAAGTCATATATTAGTAGAGAAACACCTGTTTTAGATAGCAACCCTGCTGCTGGAGGATGGAAGTATCTGTTCAGGTTGTAGCAGCTGAAGGTGGCAAGTTCAATAAATAAAAATAATAGGGTAGGACCCTCAAGTGGAGTAAAT